ACTATTTTTTCATAAAATAATAACTAAGAATAGTTAGAAATAGGGTTCTATATTTCTTAGGCCCATACCAACATGAATAATGCAAGGCTTCTTGTCATTCTTTTTCATTATAAGCTTCTAGCAAAAACCCTAATTCTTAATTAATTAGTATACAACTATAATATGCTTTTCAACAAAACCCAAGGCTTTTACTACTCATATATATGATGTTGTCATATTTTCATGTGTTATAGCTAGTAGAAAAGAATGATACCTATTTGTAAGATATGATATGTCAAGTGTAACTATATCATTGAAGTAGAGATATGTTTCTTAGCTCTTCCCATCAACCCAAAATAAATGGCAAACACGTGGTGAAGCATTAACGTCTAGTCTACTATAAAATTTTGGACTTTGGCTTTCCATGAACTTAGATTACCTATGGAATGCTTCTTCATCACCTTCTAAGATCCATAACAATCTCTACTTGTCCAAATAATTCCAACAATTCCTCTTGTTGAAGGTCATGTGTTCATACCCACCATATCCCTGCACCAGAGATGTGTAGTTATGACAAACTTTGATTTCGGCATTGTCAATTATCTCCAGTGTTTTCCTTACTCCCAATGTCATGTTTTGATTGCAATAGAAATAATGTCCGTTCGAAGGGCTAAGGTCATGGTTGTGTTCCAAGATTACCATACTTATAATATATTTCCCACAATCTTCCTTTGACCAAACCAATGTCATTTTCACTTTGCATCCTACCTTTTACAAAGTAAATATTGATGACTTCTTTGGTTTACTACTTCTCAGATACCCTTCCCATGTACATGTGAGTTGCACCCTCCGATTTGTCCCATCAATTGATAATTTTTAGGTTTGGATTGACACTATGAATCCCATCTTCTTCTTATACGCCTTGAAGAATTCTAGAGCATCCCTAATTGATTCAAATATCATTCCAGCTATAGGCCTCCCTACATCCTTTTCCTCACCCTCATACTAGCACCTGAAGGCACTATTTGGCTGACCAACTACAATCCTAGACCTCCATTGATACTATAAGGCCCCACCATGTCATCCCCCCTTATATCTGATTTATTTTCAACTTGGTTGGCCATTATACTCCTAGGTTATGAGTTTTGAACTGCCATTTTATACATGATTCAATTAGGTTTGTGGCGGCTTTACGAGTGTTACAACCCATACTTTTATCTAGTATTGATAAGCTTATAGAAATACAAAGCAAACTAGTTTTGGGATTAACCTCTTTACATCGTTTGCACATTAGTATATTGCGTTGGAGCCTCTTTTCAATTTTGTCACTTGTCCTATTTATGGGTATCACCCCTCACACTTTGAAGTTGGAATTTTCACAACGCTAACTCCTAACTGCATTCTCAATAATGAAGTTTTTGTTCCTACACTTTATAAATAGTTGGCATGGTTTACCTAAAAAAGAGAAAAGGAAAAAGCTGAGTTGGAAGTCAATGGATGTTCACTTTATGACCAGTCTTCCATCCTCATTAAAGGTCAAATAGTTAATAGCATTTCATAATATCTTATTTAAAAGTTCTATTTGTTCATTCGGACATCAATTTTGTTCAATTTCGAAAATTTAGCATTCACATTTACTCCATTATTCCTTGGTTTGCTCTTGTCGGTATTGATGAGCTAATTTTACTCTAATAAGAGTATTAGTTAATTCAAGTTATATAATGATAAAAATCAACTATCATCCAATAGAGATGATAAACTAATTAAGTACAAAAATTAACTAATTTTAATTTTATTTGAATATTTGAAATTAAATGATTTAGATGAACTAATTAACTAAACTAATTAAAGAAAAATTAAATTAATTCTACTTGACATCAAGAGTTAAAATTCTAAGACGTTAGATTTCATTATAGTCAACTAATATAGAATTTAGATTAATAGACTCAAATTATACTGAATGTATCTTCACTTATTAACTCATTATATTTTTATATGAATTTAAATAAACAAAAATGCATTTTGTTATGTAAATTTCCCTAGTTTATGTAGAAAATCAAGTTCACTTATCCCTAATACTGCATGAATCACATTGATCCATCTTTGGCATTTGTTCAATTCACATTGGACCTCCAACTTTTATACAATAAGCACTTTGTTCCCATAACTTAAGAATCATTCATTTAGCTCCCAAAAGGGAACCTTTCTTCTCGCAATTCAATCCCTCAACTTTCAAAAGCTATTTAATTAATCCTAAAAACTCATATTATTATACATTCAAGTCCTTTTCTGCACAATAATGAAAACTATGTAAAATCTATTGAAAATCGCATATCGTCTATGCAAATAGTTGTAAAATCAAGGCTTAAATAATAGACTAAGGGCCCATTTGGTATACTAGTTCTGTAGTAGTGGTTTTGGAGTAACAGTTAGCGGTTTTACCCAAACCATTATAAGATAAGTGTTCGATAAACTTGCTTATTTCAAAACTACAGCAAATTAAGTGTTTAATAAAAATTTTATTTAGTAGTTTGAAATTAGTAGATAGTGGTTAGGATTTGAATTGCTAGCAAATTGTGGTTATAGTCCAAACTGCCAGTAGATTGTAATTTTTTAATTTTATTAACAAAAATACCTATCAAGATTAAATATATAAATAGGAACATCAGACCTTGGTGCTAACCTAATCTCTTCTCCCCTCAATAAGAAAGCTTTATTTCGACCATCAAGTATGAGTTATTGTCTCTTCACCACTTTATGTTAATTTTTAATTTCAATTTTTATATGTGTTTTTTTGTATGTTCATAATTTCATTTTCTTCAATAACTTTTGTTGGCTAAATTCAATAAATTTTGTTAATTTATGGTTTAAAAAATAAAAAATATTGTATTATGATTTCAAAATAAGAAATAAAATCTCTACTAAAATAAAATAATTGGTGTTTAATTCATGTATTATTATTAATAAAATTAATCCTTTAATGACAGGAAATGTAAAATATCTCATGATTTTAGTTAAATTTCCTCCCACTATTACCCACTTCTTAGTGTTGAATCGAAGAAATAATATTTTATTTTAACGAAAACCTTATTATACTATATGGTTAGAGTTTGTGGTCCTTTCATTCTTTTTGTTATGGTTTAATGCAAAACACCATAAATTATAAGATTACCTCCTTCATCACTTACAAACAACTCATTCAACGACAATACATGATGCTGACATGCCAAAATGGTTAGAGTCGCCATCTATCCAAATGAGGTGAGATAGATCACAAAACTCTATGTAGAAATTGATTAGGATTGGAGGGTCAGTTAAGCGTGGGGAACGTATTAGGCACCCCACAACTTTCATATAAATATGATTACCAAATACTTTAATGGTTAAACCCCCATTTTGGTCCCTAAACTAAAACAATCCCTAATTTAATCCCTATTGTTTACCATTTTAGCCCCAACTTGGTCCTTCCGTTAAAAATCCACCTACGTGTCCTATTACTTGATGGGAAAAAGAAGACATGTAAAAGTATCTTGACACATAGGATGTACAACATGGCAAAAACAATGACATGGCAAGAAACAACCTTAAAAAATTTCCTTTTCCCTTTTTTTTTTCTTCCTTTGATTTTCCTTTTCCCTTCATCCTCTTCCTTTCCTTTCGCCTTCTACAAACCCTAACACCTTCTAATATTAAATCCAAAGATAACACAAACATAAACCCAAAATCTCCCCAAAATAGTCGCCAGCCTTAAATTCTTTCTCTTATCATCCCAAAAAACCCAAAAAAATCAAGGCACCTTCTCCCAAATTTTTGAAAAAAAAAAAAACAACTAAAGTATCTTTTGAGTCTTTTGAACCCAACAGATCGTTGGGTTTGACTGTTGGGTTCAATCTAACCCCCAGCAGATTAGCAGATCACTGGGTTCCATCAAATGCACCTAGTAGATTTATTGGGTTCCGAACCCCCAACAAGGCTCAGGGGATGAAGAATTATTGATGAGAAGGTTTAGATGGAGGAGATGAGATGAGGAAAGAGATGATGAGGAGATGAGAAAAGGAGATGAGAAAAGGAGATGATTAAAACCTAAGCCAGCAAACAGGGATCTAAGGGAAGAAGATGAATAATGAAAGAGGTTGGAGATGAAAAGTAAGGGGTAGCGAAAGAAGAAAGGAAAGAAAGTGATGTGTGGTTGAAGATGAGGGTAAAAACATAATTTTAGCTTCATAATTAGCTTTATAATTTAACCTTTAATTTTTAGTTGGAAATTACATGTCAAGTATTTTTTCTCACATTGTCAGTCCTAAGTGTCAAAATACATTTCCATGTCATCTTTTTCTTTCAAGTAAAAATACACGTAAGTGGATTTTTAATGGAATGACCGAGTTGGGGCTAAAATGGTAAAGAATAGGGACCAAATCCGAGATTTTTTTAATTCAGGGACCAAATTGGGGTCCTTACAATAGTTAAAGGACCAAAATGGGGGGTTTAACCTACTTTAATTTTGAGGTATTTCAATTTCTATTAAAAAAAAAAAAACTAGAAACCACTTCAAAAAAATAAAAAATAAAATTCCATCGTTGTTTCTTTTTTTTTTTTTCTTTTTTTGAATGCTAAAACCAATTTCATATTTTCCAAAAAAAGTTTCTGTTGTGTGTGTGTATGTGTGTGTGTGTGTTTTTTTTTTTTTCTATCTAATGCATTCCTAAAGATAAATAACCACAAATCCTAAAAAAAAACTTCATGAATAACATGAAATTGACTTTTCCCTAAAAAAAAGTGCTATTGATTATTTTAGATTACAGGAAAACGCAAACTATTTCATTAGTATACATATCATCATCCAAGCAGGAATTTCTAAATGATACATAAGTTTAGTGGACAAAAACAGTGACTAAAATCAAAGAGGAAAAAAAAATTAATTAAAGTAGAGGCAATGTCACAAATGATGGCGATCGGTTTTGTTTAATTACTTTAATTAAACTAATTTAATCACATCCTCCCTGTGTTTCCTCCTAAAAAAATCTAATTTAATTAAAGAAAACAAATGAAAAACAAATAAGCCATATTGATAATGAAGCAAAGTGACGAATAGAACAAAGGAAGAAAGAAAATATGAAAGGCTATGACCTAACGAACATAACAAGTGGAAAACAAATGAAGAATGAAATTATGAAAGGCTGCAACCAATTAATATTTTCTTTCTCAAGAACAATTATAGACAAACTATGAAGAGAAACAACTTAAAAGGGAAACCAAGCAATTACCCATAACAAAAGAAAGGAAGAAAAGGAAAAGAAAATTCAGACTCCAAATTCTTCCATGCTCTCAAAAAAACCACACCTGAAGAGGTAGAGAAATTCAATCTCATTTATTTGTAGAAAACTTCAAGAATACAAGATTTTCTTGCTTTCTTCTTTGCCTTTCTCTCTCTCAATCTCTCAGTTTCTTCTCTCTTTTTTCTTTCTCCATTTCTTCTCCCTCTTTTCTCCCTCTCGATCTCTCCACTTCTGCCCCCTTTGGTTGGCCAAAGCCCCCTTTTTATAGACAAAGGGAAAACTCAATCCCAATGTGCTTCTAATATCTAATCCAAATCCCTAAGATAACAACCCAATCCTACTTGGAATGGGATTTCTTAGTTTTTCCCACATCTACCCCTTTTCAAGTCTAGATTCATACCTTTTATGCCTTAGAACTCCCCCACTTTGAATCAATTTCGAACTCTTCTTCGGCGACTCTTGATGATGACTTTCAATCTTCGAAAATTTCTTCAAAACTTGAGTAGATTAAGGATAAGCCAAGGAGATTTTGTGATTTTTTTCTGTGTGAGAGGGGCTGGTGGCAGAGCAACGAGATGTCAGTTTTGGGCGGCTATGGTTCCCAGCCTTTATCTTTATTTCAACCTACAAGCAAAACGACATCATTTTGCTAATTCTTCTCCTCGACCCTTCAGGTTTCATACTTTTGGAAAACATAGTCCATAGACTTCTAATTTTATCATTTAGCCCCTGATAAAAATTGGGTTATGACACATGAGTGTTCCAAGCGTTAACAATTAACAACACAAACATTATAACAATAATCTAAATCACATACCCATACACACTAAGTTCATGCAACTTGAAAATAAATTTGTTACAACTACCATAATAGCTTTGTAATAAACGGCAATTCATGTTCCCTTTCTGGCTTACTCGCTCGCTTACTATGTGTATCCGTCATGAACCTTACTTGGGACTGATATCCACGTGTTATATTCCGCACCATACTTCCATCTCCCATATGGTACATTAACATTTCTACTTTTCCACAGTATGCTCACTCCCCCACAAGCTTACTATTATGGAGTTAAGAATTGAGCATCATATGGTAGTCCCTGCACCACCCCCTTTATCACTCCCTCACTAGTTTGGCGTGTATTGAACATAAACATGATATTTGTCCCATTCCTAGAACACATGGCTTCAAGTGCCTCCAAAAATTGTCCCTATAAATATTTTGGCAATTCCAAATCACGATTTAAAACCTCATATCACCAAATCTAAAATGTAGGATGCAGTCACCAGAACATTAAGTTGGTATGCCATTTCAATTGTTGGGACTTTTGCTAACCATCCACAATGCAGTTGGACTGTGGAAACATCATGCTGTGTCAGTATTCATCTCACAAACACCTCTTCCTGTGGTACCATAAACTTTAGATTATTCTCCTTGCCCACATACTGGGTTTCCATACCTTACTACTTACTATGTCTTGCTACAACAGTCCCTCTTCCAAGGCTAGGTTAACAAACAATTCTAACTTGTAGCACCAAGTAGCAAATTATGCTTCTACTTCCCTCAGGGTCAACTAGTCTGCAGTTGAGATTCTAATATCCCTTAAAACCTACAGAATGAAAAAACTAATCACTACTATTATGTCGCTTCCCTTGGTCATGACTTTAACTTCTCCCCGATAAAATCTTGTTAACTTGTAACATGTCTCAATAAGCCATAGTTCATTCCAAGCAAATGATTTTCATTATTGTGCAATATGCCCAATCAAACGAACCATTTCTCATGGAGCCAAAATTTAGCCCTTATCTCTTGAAAATGTTAGGTGGTGACAAATCATTTTGCATGGCTAAACCAAATCACTTGGAAACTACGTCAGATGCTCTGCATATGACCAATTTGCACTCAGAACAGCATCTGCTCTGTTATGTTCATGCTCGGCATGACTTCATCGATGGTATCGTGCATGGTATTGAAACTGGTGACTTTTTCTTCACATTTGGTTCTACAACAAAATGGAGGGAAAGCCAAATGGGAAACGATTTTCAACCTTGAACTCCACAAGAAGAGAGATTATTGGTGCAAGGCTTTAAGGTCTGTGAATGGAGTGTTCGAGCACCCACAGGTTAAAGGGTTTCCATAAAGATAGTGATCCTTAAAGCATTTACTGTGAGCAATTTCTTTGGCCACCAACCAAATATTTAAAAGTCCATGGGTAATATAGAGACATGCAATATTTCAAGTCATGTTCTTACCTCATGAACCCATTATAATTCTTTCCTTGGTCGCTTATTGGAATAGTTATTGACTTACGTTATTTAAAGAATAGGATTGCCACACCATCCAATTTAATATAATTTATAATACTCATTGATCAATTTGTTAAAATCAATAACTTTTGTTTTCTACTCTTAATTCAAAACTAAAAATAATAATTTGTTAATGTGTATGAGGTAAGTACACTCTTCATCCAAGATATGCTCTCCAAAATAGTATATGAATATATAGGGATGTGAGGTAAGAAGGAGATTATAGGGGAGAGAATGAATAATATTAAATAATTTATTAATATACAGAGAAAGTTTGGATATAAATGCTTGAAAAATCTTTATAACTTATTAATATCTTAAACCTATTTAAGTCAAACCACTTCTTTCATTAGAGTTAATAGATCTTAAAGTAGTGTATATAACTCAATACATTCTTAATCACTAATAAAATTGATAAAAATGATGCTTAATATAACATTTTTATTGATCTTTTTTTTTTTTTTGGTTTAATAACATGACCCTCAGCAAAAAAAAACTTTCGATTAAGAAAACCATTTTTCCTTAAAGTCTTAACCTTTCCTTGTTCGTATGTTTCCAAGCATGGGCTATTCGCCTTCAAGGAGTCACGGTTCATCAACTCACCCTATTGACAGTGGAAACAAGGTAGAATCTCTTGATTAGAGATGTGTTGAGTACAAGTGGGAGTGTGGGCTCGCATCGGCTACTCGACCACCTTTTATGGTCCAAAACATGGGTATGAGGTTTTGCAATTATCCAAAGAAGAAGGTAATCATGATTTCATTTCCTGTCTTTTCTTTTTTCTTTTT